ATAAGGGACAGTACAAAACAGCGATAAGCTGAAATGTTATCAAACAAGAGGCCAACACTGAAGGACGCGGAGGATATAAAAAGAGCACAGCAGCCAATAGCAAAGCAGCCTCGCCAGGAAAAACACAAGCAGCCCTGAATGTACACAAGAGCTTTACAACGCACGGTGCGGGTTGCAAGCACTGGCTGATCGAATCGAGGCTGCGCCCTTTCAGAAGTTAAATCTGACAGGACTTGAAAAGGCCCGGCTGATGCTGAAGAGGCCAAACGGGGAGTCGCTGGGAAAGCAAATGTGAAAAGAGAATCTGGTGATGGGGAAGGGAAAGGCTTCCTCGCCAGCAATCGCTCACTGCCCGCACACCAATCTTGGCCCTCGGATCTGGCCACAGATGGTGGCTTTGACAGCCGCAACCCTTGAAGGTTTATCTGGGAATAAAGTCTCCCTGATTTAGACAGCTTATTTAGAAATGGAGACAACTGAGGCCTGCTGCTTTCGAGGCAACTGGAGGGCTGGACTATGGGTTCCATCTTTAGGAAAGGGATTGGCCTCCCAGGATGGTTACAGGGGCCCCAGCTATTCTCTAGGTTTATTAGTATGATTATTGGGTTGGTCTACTGCAGGGATCTTCAAACTTGGCAACTTTAAGACTTGTGGGCTTCAACTCCCAGAATTTCTCAGCCAGCCAGTATTGCTACAGGGGCCCCAGCTATTTTCTAGGGCAGTGGTTCTCAACCTTTTTAATGCTGCGACCCCCCAACCGGTTGTAAGTCAAGGACTAAATCGGTCGTAAGTCGAGACTAAACCGGTCGTAAGTTGAGGACTACCCAACCGGTCGTAAGTCGAGGACTTTCCCTGCCTGGGAGCGCCGCACATGCGTGGTGCCGCCCCCTGCGCCAGATGAGGCATAGCTGGCAAGCGGCAGAGATGGAGCAGGCTGACCACCGGCTGGGCCACCAGCTGGCCCAGCCCAAGGGAGATAAGGCACCTGCCGGAAAAGGGGAAAAAATGGTGGACAGCCTTGCTTGGCGACCCCTGTGAAATGGTCGATTGACCCCAAATGGGGTCGCGACCCATAGGTTGAGAACCGCTGCTCTAGGGGTATTAATATGATTATTGGGTTGGTCTAGTGCAGGGGTCTTCAAACTTGTGGACGTCAACTCCCAGAATTCCTCAGCCAGCCCTGGCTAGGTGAGGAATTCTGGGAGTTTAAGTCCACAAGTCTTAAAGTTGCCAGGTTTGAAGACCCCCCCCCCCGGTCTAGTGGTTAAGGCACCAGGCTAGAAAGTGGGAGATGGTGAGTTCTGTAGTTCCACCTTAGCCATGAAAGCCAACTGGGTGACTTTGGGCCAATCACTAGGAGACTGTGAGTTGTAGCCCAGCCTTAAACATTAAAACTGGCTGGACGACCTTGGGCCAGTTCCTTTCTCTCCTAGCCCAACCTAGCTTGCAGGGTTATGGTTGTGGGGAAAAAGGGAGGAGGAAGAAGTGTTGGATATGTTCGCCACCTTGAGTTGTTAATAAAAATAATAAAGGGGAGGATACCAATACACAAATCAGATCAAAAATTAAATATATCCTGCCTTTATTTGGACAACTCAAAGCAGAGCACAATGCTCCTACCTAGATCACAACAACAACAGTGGGAGGTGGACTGGGCCGAGTGGAAAAGAGGGGGGACTGGTCCAAGTGACCGAGACAACCTTCATGCCCAAGGCAAGACTAGAACTTATATTCTCCCAGTTTCTAGTCTAGCACCTTAACCATCGTACCAAAGTACGTAGAACAGTGGTTCTCAACCTGCGGGTCGGGACCCCATTTGGGGTCGAACGACCATTTCACGGGGGTCGCCAAACAACGCAGTCCGCCATTTTTTCCCCCTTTTCCTTAGCTGTGCTACTCCCTTTTATTCTATTGGCTTTTGAAAGCCAATAGAATAGACTCTCTTGAATAGAGTCTAATTCTATTGCTTTCAAAAGCCAATAGGAATTGTCCAGGCTGTCTCTGCCCTGCTGAGCCCGCCAAAAGTCCCATTCTGCAAATGGTGCTGCACCAGTTGAGTAGTCCTCGACTTACGACCGGTTGAGTAGTCCTCGACTTACGACTGGGTGGGAGTCGCGGCATTAAAAAAGTTGAGAACCACTGACGTAGAGGTAGGCAGTCCTTTGGTCATGATGGCAACCAGGCCCAGGATTGCTGAAAGATAAGGTCATAAAGCGAGACTGCATTGCTTACAATGGGTCATTAAGTGGGAATTGGCAAGAATCCCAGGTAAAGAACGGGGTGGTTTCTACTGGTAGAGAGGGGAGGCCGGACGAAGTTGTGGGAGGGCTGGACATAAGGCAAGGATTATCTGTGTGTGCCAAACCACACTAATCATGTGTATTGTATCTATGTATCTAATCAATCTATCATATCTAATTGTGTGTGTGTGTGTGTGTGTGTGTGTGTGTGTGTGTGTGTGTGTGTGTTTGTATACATACCAATCTATCTAACCTATCCATCTAATACAGTGATTCTCAACCTTGACATCTCTTAAGATATGTGACCTTCAGCTGGCTGGGGAATTCTGGGAGTTGAAGTCCACATATTTTAGAGCTTTCAAGGTTGAGGAACACTGATCCAATCTATTGTTTGTATCCATCCATCCATCTAAGATTGTATAGGGATTTCTGAATTCCTTGATGCAATTTCTTTAACCCCACCAAGAATATTAATTTATTTCCTAACTAGCTGCCTTGCAGATGTGATGCCCTACAACCGTCATCTCCTCAGGCAGCTGTGGCAGAGACAACTGATACAGATATTAGCACACTCCTAACAACTGTGCAGGTAAATTATGGGCCTTTGGTTGTCCCTGGGCCAGAGGTGTCGAACCTATGGCACAGGTGCCAGAGGCGGCACCCAGAGCCCTCTCTGTGGGTACGCATACTGTCGCCCCAGCACCGCCACCCCCTGTGGCCCCCTCCTCACCAGTAGCCCCCCGGAGGAGAGCCATCCCAGGCGCAGCCTATGCAGAACAGAACAGCCAAGGACATGGCAGCCAGGCAGTGGGGACAAGACTCCGCCCTTGCGCCCCATTGCATACAGATGATGTTTTGGGGCGTGGGCAGAGGGTGTGGCCACCATGACGCTGCTGGGCCACCTGGGCAATCTGCTGTGGGGGCCATGAAGATGGTGGGTGATCCTGCGGGCAGGAGACGCGGGGACGGGGCAGCGATGAGGCGGTTTTGGGGCACTCGATCTCTAAAAGGTTCGCCATCACTGCCCTAGGCCTTCAACTGCTCTTCTGATAATTCTATTCTAAAAGGTGACTAATACTAGGAAAAATGATGACCCCTTTTAAAAGTGAATTAACTGGTTTAACAATACAGTAAAATCTAAATTTAATGGGCTGTTTGCGAGAAATGGGTGCTTTTTCATCCCAATGTCCATTACAGCTGAATTGATATCATTTGAGCCAATCGACGTATTTTGCGTAATTGATGTAAATAGCAACATATGCTGTTAAATCTCCATTTAATGAACAAAGCTTTGATGTAACAGACATTAAATGAGAGAGAAACCTCAAGGGGGAAAAAAAAATGTAGCCACTGTATCTGATTTCGGTTAAAGCGATGTGTGTTAAACTGAAAGTTAACTACAATTTTTTACCCTGCCCTGGAGGATTTGCAGAATTGTCCTTCTGTGAAAGGGTTGAGTTCCTTCAACAGAAAATTCTCAGCATTTCGAGCAAATAAAAATACTCCAATGCTTTCAGGGAAGATAAGAAGTTTCTTCACATACCAAACAGTTGTTGAATCAGCTGCAAGAATTGGAAGGAACCTTATAGATCATCCAATCTGACCCGTAACCCTGCATGAAATCCATTGCTACAACAAGCCGTATGTCCGCTCAGCCTGTTTTAACAACCCCAGCAAAAGAAAATCCACTATTTCTTCAGATAGTATGTTAAATTGTATGTTCCTATTGTTAAGACCAAATCTCTTCCCCTATAATTTAAACCAGTGGTTCTCAACCTATGGGTCGGGACCCCATTTGGGGTCGAATGACCATTTCACGGGGGTCGCCAAACAACACAGTCCGCCATTTCCCCCCCCCCCTTCCTTACCTGTGCTACTCCCTTTTATTCTATTGGCTTTTGAAAGCCAATAGAATAGACTCTCTTGAATAGAGTCTAATTCTATTGGCTTTCAAAAGCCAATAGGAATTGTCCAGGCTGTCTCTGCCCTGCTGAGCCCGCCAAAAGTCCCATTCTGCAAACAGTGCTGCACCAGTTGAGTAGTCCTCAACTTACGACCAGTTGAGTAGTCCTCGACTTATGACCGGTTGGGGGTTGCGGCATTAAAAAGGCTGAGAATCACTGATTTAAACTCACTGTTCCTTGTCTGTTTTATGGAACAATTCTAATCAATTCTACCCCATCTTCCAATAACAACTGTTCATATACTTGAAACAGCTATCCTGGGAGTAAGGAGGAAAAGCAGAAGCGTCTTTCACCCGGGAAAAATCTATAAACTACTAAAACTCTTCCGTCTGTAACCTTTAGCTGGGTGAAATGGTGCACCATAGAGCAACAATTTCTGAACCAAAGTATTTCAAATAGACTAACTTACAGAATGCATCCAAAATCCGGGACCGACAACTCCCATGGAATTGAAATTTTAAATTTTATAAAACATTTTATGACATAAACATGATCATAAAAGAGTTTATGACCTAATAGAAAATGTCATAAAATATTTCCTGTAGTTGATTGCACTATACTGTTCAACATAAGCTACTTGCAAGGCAGACACATCTCTGAAGGTATCTCAGTTTTTCCAATGAAGGCAGTAAATTAGAAATTCTATCATTGTTGAAAACATTGAGGAATCTGGTAAGGAAATACCTTTAAAACAATGACCCAAAGGGGCATCAGTTGTTTAATACTTAAAAAAAAAAAAAAAAAAACACAGCAGTCTCACCATTCACATGGAGATGCAATATTTAGGCTAACTCACCAACAGCAGAGTCCAGATCTGCTACTAAATTCCAGGAACATTCGAAACCGCTTCTTCCAGACACTGGAATGCAGGAAACCAACATGGGTTACCAAAGTGTTGCCCTGCAATTCAGCTTAAGTTTAAGCAAACACATTGTTGCTGTACTCGTAATTAGATGTAATTGTTAGCTGTGCCCTGTATTTAATCCTTTCATCTGAAATGATACAAGATGAAGAGGCATTTTCAAAAGCCATCATGGAAATAATTATCAAGTCAATCCAACTTGTTTCCATAACATTCTGATGGTTTTTTTTTTTTCCCTCCCTCCTTCCTTCCTTCCTTCCTTCCTTCCTTCCTTCCTTCCTTCCTTCCTTCCTTCCTTCCTTCCTTCCTTCCTTCCTTCCTTCCTTCCTCATATGATGCCATTCTAAATCTATAAACACTTAAAAACTATTCAGGAAGTGGCCAAAACGTCAGGCCTCATTCTCAAACGCTTAACCCAAATTTATAAAAGTTTAAATCTGGGTTAATTTCTTGGGGGAGAGGGATTTAATTGAGGGACACAGGACCCGACCCATCCCACCCAGGGAGGCCTCTGAGTTCCTGTTCTGCTCCTGTAGTAGAAACATATTTTTTTAAAAAAATGGGGATTTCTGATTTCAAAAAAATACTGCGTGTCCCTAGACAAAAAGAAAGGAATATTTTGCCAATTTTAGCATCTTTATGTTCTAAGTCCATAAACAGAACACTTTCTGAGAAACCCCAACTGATGTACTTTTCGTCCAATTTTGCTGTTCACTGCTGTTCAGATTTCTCGGCAGGGATGAGTAGAATTCAGGTAGTCCTCAGCTTACAACCATTCCTTTAGGGACCATTCAAAGTTATAACAGCATTAAAAAGAATGTCTATGGCAGTGGTTCTCAACCTTTTTAATGCCACGACCCCCAACTGGTCGTAAGTCGAGGACTACTCAACCGGTGTAAGTCGAGGACTACTCAACTGGTGCAGCACCGTTTGCAGAATGGGACTTTTGGTGGGCTCAGCAGGGCAGAGACAGCCTGGACAATTCCTATTGGCTTTTGAAAGTCTATTCTATTGGCTTTCAAAAGCCAATAGAATAGAAGGGAGTAGCACAGCTAAGGAAAAGGGGAAAAAAATGGCGGACTGCGTTGTTTGGCGACCCCCGTGAAATGGTCGTTCGACCCCAAATGAGGTCCCGACCCACAGGTTGAGAACCACTGGTCTATGGCAGTGATGGCGAACCTTTTAGAGACCGAGTGCCCAAACCGCAACCCAAAACCCACTTATTTATTGCAAAGTGCCAGGGCAGCATCAGCATTGTGGTTCCCTCAGGGAGGGCGGGGTGTGTGGCCCACTGGGTGGGCGTGGCCAGGGTAGTCACAGCAGACTGGGTGGGTGTGGCCAAGTAGGCGTGGCCACCTCGATACTCTAACATCTCTACTCGAGCTTGCTAGCCGGCCATTTTGCCTGCTTTGTGCTGGGCGGGGCTGCTGCTCCGGGCGGCGACAGCCTAATGGACCTGCGCGAGCTGCTAGTGGCCGCAGTGCACGTGCCCACAGAGAGGGCTCTGAGTGCCGCCTCTGGCATGCGTGCCATAGGTTCGCCACCACTAGTCTATGGAGATTCTCAGTCATCCAGGTCATAGATATCCCAAAGGCGCTTTTTCACGAAGCAACTGGATTTTATTTTATTTTTTTGAAGACGTTTCGTTTCTCATCCAAGAAGCTTCTTCATCTCTGACTGGATGGTGGGGAATGGAAATCAAAAAGAATATTATAGCCCATAGTCTTCCTGTGAAGTGGATTTCCTGGCCTGCTCTACCAAGTGAGGCTACTTCAACATCAACCCCGTGGCAACCTAAGCATCCATAAAAACTCCAGGAATGGACAACCCCCAAACCTTCATTAACTCGACTGCTGCAATGTTCTCCAGCCTCTGCCTTTGAAAAACGTTTCCCTGAAGCTGAGCTTCTGTGCTTTACATGCAAAGTATCAGGATCTAAAAACCCATTATCCTCTGTAAAGGACCACAACCTAACTTTTCCTAGGATTGCGGATTTCTCAAAACAGTGAATACAACCCAGATATAAAAATGGGATTGCCTGGGTTCACACAGCAACGCTGAACATGAGCCGAAGATGGGAAACCAAGGACATCAGCCTGGCAACCAAATGTAGGTTAGTCCACCCTATTGTGTTCCCGTAGATGCCTAACGCCAAAGAATTGAGGCCTCTGAACTATGGCGCTGGAGGAGACTCCTGCGAGTCCCCTGGACTGCAAGGTGATCAAACCGGTCAGTCCTGGAGGAGATCAACCCTGACTGCTCTTTAGAAGGCCAGATCCTGAAGTTGAAACTCAAATACTTTGGCCACCTAATGAGAAGGAAGGACTCACTGGAGAAGGGCCTAATGCTGGGAAAGATTGAGGGCAATAGAAGAAGGGGACGACGGAGAATGAGGTGGCTGGATGAAGTCACTGAAGCAGTAGGTGTGAGATTAAATGGATTCCAGAAGATGGTAGAGAACAGAAAGGCCTGGAGGAACGTTGTTCATGGGGTCACGATGGGTCGGACACAACTTCGTAACTAACAACAACAACAAGGTCCTTATGGTTGTGAAAGCTAGGCCTTAAAAAGCAAGACAGGAAGAAAATTGACTCATTTGAGCTGTGGTGCTGGAGAAGGCTCCTGCATGTTCCTTACCAGCAAAGGGAACTAAAGGGCAAGTGCTGGAGTGCATTAACACCCTACATGTCAATAAAAGGCAAAATCACAAAACTGTGTCTCACTTACTTTGACTGTGATATCTGGGAGAATTCACTCAAGAAAGCAAATATGTTTGGAAGGTAAAGGAAAACCAGGCCACCAAAGAACAGGGTGGCTGGACATCCTCAAAGCTGACACCAGCCAGAGCATAGAACAACCCAAAGAAATAGCGCAAGATAGGAAGACATGGAGAGACCTGGCCCACAGAATCACCAAGAGCCGGACACCATTGAATAGATAATATGATGATGATCATCATCATATGGAGATTCTCAGTCATCCAGGTCATGGTTGCCCCAAAAGTGCTTTTTCAAGAGGCGACTGGATTTCCTCTGTTTTTCCTTGAAGACGTTTCGCCGAACTTGAAGAAGCTTCTTGGACGAGAAGGGACAACGCCTTCAAGCAAAAACAAAGGAAGTCCAGTTGCCTTTTGAAAAGGCACCTTTGGGATGATCATCATCATAACTTTTGAAGGTGACTGTCCATCAGTGCAAACCCAACCTCGTGTTTTTTTTTTCCCAGAGGTAGAAGGCCACCACTCTTCCCATCTGCAATCACAACTAAACTACGTTTTCAGAAAGAAAGGAAAAAGAAAGTATGGCTCACACGCCTGGCCAGGTAGACCTAATCCCCAACGCACAGGTGTTCTGTGCCAAGACTCATCGAGCAACTCTAGAAACCTGTCTCAACCCAACAGGTGGGAAAGCACCTTACTCATCGCCATCTTACCCCTATGACGCATTCATGGCCAAGTCAAGCCAACAAGGGTCAAGAGGGAAAACCCTGCCGCCTTCTCCAGGGGAGCTCAGAGCCTGGGAACGAGGCAGCTGCTTTATTTATTTATTTATACCTCCTCGGCGTCTCACCCCCAAGGCAGTGACAGCGTGAGAACCTGGGTGTGTCTCTCCTTGGCTTTCCAAGAAGGGGGAAGAGCTGCCCTTCTTAATTGCTACGCTTGTCTCCACCACACCTGCTCCTTCCCTTCTCTTCTTCAGCAAGGCAACTGAGGGCAGGCATCCAAGGCAAATGAGTGTCTGTCTGGAGATGCGAGCAAAACAGGCTGGAACCGAAAAAAGGGACATCTTAGCACAGTGTTTCTCAACCTTGACAATTTTAAGGCATGTGGACTTCAACTACCAGAATTCCACAGCCAGTAATGCTGGCTGTGGAATTCTGGGAGTTGAAGTCCACATGCCTTAAAATTGTCAAGGTTGAGAAACACTGTAAAGGAACACACAGAGATATTCTCTGCAACTACCAGATAGCAAACCTTCTTTATTTATTAAATCAAAGCAGGGATTGGCTGTTGGGAAATAAACAAGAGCTTCCTAACAGCTTGGTCCAAGGTGATATTTTAGGGATACAAGTAGTCTTTCACTTACAACCGCAATTTATGTTGCTTAGTGAGACAGTTGTTAAGGGAGTTTTGCCCCAGTTTATGCCCTTTCTTACCACAGCTGTTAAGTGAATCACTGCAGTTGTTAAGTTAGTTACCTGGTTGTTAAGTGAATCTGGCTTCCCCACTGACTTTGCTTGTCCCCGGGACACTGCAACCGTCATAAATATGCCAAGCATCTGAATTTGGATCATTTGCAAAGCATCTGAATTTGCATCACATGACCGTGGGGATCTTATAATGGTTGTATACATGAAAAATGATTTTAAGTCGCTTTTTCCAGTGCCGTTATAACTTCAAAACAGTCACTTACAAATGGTTGCAAGTCGAGGACTACCCACATTTCTCCCTTTTTGATTGCAAGGGGTAAGAAGCTGGTGTCCTTGTGGTGGGTGGTTTTGTTATTTACCTCTCCTCCATCAGTCTCGGGTCCCCAAATACAAATGCAACTGGAGATGCATCTTCCAAGTTCCCCTGTGAATTTGAGGGGAGGTATGCATGGAAAGCCAGGAAAGTTGAAGACTGCTAAATAAATGACTGTACAGTCAGGAACAAGCCCTTTTGCAGCTGAAAAAACACTGAAGAAGCTTCTTGGATGAGAGAAGAAAAAAAAAAAAAAAAACAAGAAAGTCCAGTTGTCTTTTGGGGAAAGAAAAGCACCTTTGAAGCGATGCTGATTTCTCCCAAGTCCATAAAGGGGCCGTAATAGTACTTTGCAGAGCAGCATAGAGAAGGAATCTCCTCTGAACCTTCATTTAAACCAGTGGTTCTCAACCTTTTTAATGCCGCGACCCCCAACCGGTTGTAAGTCGAGGACTACTCAACTGGCCGTAAGTCGAGGACTACTCAACTGGTGCAGCACCGTTTGCAGAATGGGACTTTTGGCGGGCTCAGCAGGGCA